AGGATAAATTCCTGGTGTATGGAGGCCACAAAGAACTGGTTGTTAAAGGTTACACCGACGCTAGCTTCTAGAATGACCGAGACGACTTCAAGTCACAGTTGGGGTACATATTCTGGCTGAATGGAGGAGCGTTTAGCTGGAAGAGTGCCAAGCAGAGCACCACAGAAGACTCTACAACTGAAGCCGAGTACTTGGTCGCTTCAGAAGCTGCCAAGGAAGCTGTTTGGATTCGCAAGTTCATTAGCGAACTTGGTGTTGTACCCTCAATCAAGGGGCCGATAGATCTCTATTGTGATAACAATGGAGCTATCGCTCAGGCCAGGGAGCCAAGAGAGCACCAAAAGGTCAAACACGTGCAAAGGCGATTTCACATGATAAGGGAATGGAAATCCGAAGGTGAAATCAGAATTTATAAGATTGGCACGAATGATAATGTAGCCGATCCTTTGACTAAACCGCTGCCTCAAGTGAAACACAACAAGCACATTGAGGCAATGGGAATCAAGCATGTTGGAGACTGGCTTTGAAATTCCCTATAGATGTGTTTTAATTAAATAGGATATTTAATGTAAGACACTGTATTAAAACCATTCATTAATGGAGTAATTAATTTTTGTGCAAAATTATCATTCACTCCATTACTATTTAATTGTGGTTTAGAATTAAATAATGAGTCCATTTGATTTACAGAAATATTCAAAACAGGGTATCAAGACCATGTCTTGGATAAAGAAATACCTGTTAAGTGAACATTGAATATTAAATCGAAAAGTGTCCCTAATCGAGGTCATCTAACAGATGGACGATTGATGACCGCCATAGATTAGTGTGTAGTATGATTTACAGCACCGTTTCTTGTGCTGCGAGGACGTGACAGTCATAAATCATTTGCACAGGCACAGTTTGGAATTGTACTGGATAAGACCTATGAGAGTACTTTAAGAAAATTTAAATTTTGTCAAAAGTACATTTCTCATTATGACTATCGGAACTTGTTTCCTCCGACCATGAGTACTGTGAAGTTTTCTTGTTTGAGTACTAGACTCTTTGATGTTTCCAAACGTCTGTCGTAACTGGGGATCATAACGGGAACAATCAGGAGATTATGTCCTCTTAGTAAGAAGAACTTACAATACAAGACTGGGATTGTCCCCCTACTAACAATAGGGAAAAATGTTTTGTTGTTTACAAGGCCGCTCGAAGAGCGAGACTGTGAAAATGCATGGTCGTGCTCAGATGGATTTTAGAAATCATCTGCTTATTGACAGTCGAACTCGGAGATCGAGAAACACTTCTGAACGTAATAAGGATGACAAAGAATCTTACCTTATAGTTCACAAAGAAACATTAAGTGACATAGGAAATGGGCTATACACTGTATGCACACTTGTCCGGAAGGACAAGTGGGAGATTGAAAGGAATGGTGTCCTTCCAACAAGTGTATTCTTCCGATAGAGGGTGCAGAATTACTACAGAGCTAATTCTTCAGTAAGGTCAAGTGATTGGAATGCCTAGGTGGAGGCCGCTTCCGATCAATAATATCAATGTGCAGTTGATGTTACAACTTAATCTTAACTTAACCCTTCGGGTTAAACCCAATCGAATCACCGATCCGAGACGACGAATTAATCCGAAAGGATTTAATAAGTCAGCAGAGTTTTACAAATACAGACGTCGGAAATCGAGCCTAGGGCGTCGAGACCGAGCGTTGCAAAATCACAAGCGACAAGTACGAGTGTAGTCGTAACACCACAATGGTTTAACCATGTGGATGCTAGGCTAGTTCGAGCTAGCATGCACCTAGAATGGCTAGGCGCACCATCGCAAGCTCAAGGCGCACCATCGCAGCCTAGGCATGCGCATGGCAGCCTATCGCAAAGGCCAAAAGCACCAGGCAACCCATCGCAGCTAGCAGCGTGCTAGCCTGGGTGCCTGGGTGCGCATGGCAAGCCATCGCAAGTGCCACATGCACCAGGCAGCCCATCGCAGCTAGCAGCGTGCTAGCCTGGGTGCCTGGGTGCATGTGGCAGGCTATCGCAGCACACAGCCCAAGCCAGGCACCATCGCAAGGCATGGCACCACGCACAGCACCATCGCAATGCCAGGGGCTTGCGTGTGTGTGCATGTGTGCCTCGCAGCCTCGCACAGCAGCAGCAATGATGCGTGTGGGGTTGTGCGTGTGTGTGCAATGGGGATGCTAGGCAGCAGCACCACGCATGCATGTGCGTGTGCGTATGTGCGTGCCTCGCACCAAGCATAGTAGTGCTAGGCACTGGCTGATGCGTGTGCGAGCGTTGCGTGGTGCATGGTGCGTGGTGCATAGGATGATGCAAGGGAAGGGGCCAGCATGCGTGGCTCGCTAGCAGCACGCATGCTGGTTGTGCTAGCTATGGTGCGCAAAGGAGGTGTGCGTGGGCTGCTAGGGCCAGTGCCATCACTATGTGCTAGCAGCGCCCAGCGCCAGCACACAAGCACCAGCACCAGCCCAGCAGCAGCACGCACTGGCTGGCTGGCTGGGTGCTGGGCAGTAGGGGACTGCTAGCTAGCAGCCCTAGCTGGCACGCTAGCTGGCAGCCAGCTAGCCCTCCCTTAACCCGGTTTGTTCAAGGGTGTGGGGACCAAGTCAAGCCCTTTGGGAGCAAGACATATGGTCCCCTACCTAACCTTGGCCACCACTCCTTTGCATGAGAACATGCCACTTGTCGCAATATGATTAACATGATTATTTATTTAATTTGGAAATTAAATAAATGATTGATTTTCAACACTCCCACATTGGTGGAGGATGAAAAACCAAGGGTTCATTTCCCTATAAATACCAAGCTTGGGATTGGGAAATAAACAACCTTGAGTGGAATTAAAAAGGCAACTCTGAGAAAGAGTAAACCTTTGATTCGTAAAACTCATAGTTATTTTGTCCGGGTCTTGACTAACCTTCAAGACTTAGGACGCTCGGGTCGGGTCGAGGGTACGATCCGTCGGAGATCTCGTCTTTTCGGGATTTTGAAGTAAGAGCTCTTGGGGAGCGAAGCACGCGTCAAAGGTATAATTCTTGTTCTTAATCTTGTTTGATTAAGTTTATTATGCTTGTTAATTGCTTTAATTAAGGGGCGGGTCTTGGTGGGTTTCCTTCCGCGTAGTGTCGGGTCACTACGAAACCCTACAGAGGCATGGGTAGTAGCAGGTCGGTACGGTGCCTACACCGAGAATAATCACCTGTGCATTGAACCAAGTAGCAATAGGAAATAAATCCTGAATTGCAACCATCCAATGTCGTGAATCAACCGCCCCACCATCCCATTGAATACATTCTACATTCATCCAAACCCTTCCAATCCCGTAAATCCTTTCATACAACACTAGATGAGCGGCGACCTCGTTTGCTATTGTTTCTAGAGCGTCAAACCATTGCCCTTGATCACCGAAGAAAAAGTCAGCCACATAACGAAAGCCACAGTTTCTATCACCAATGACATCCTTCCATGTTGTGATGTAAGGCAACATCGGTCCTGGAAGCAAGTGCACATCCTGCATTGACTGATGTTACATTGATCTTCTGCACGAAATAAAAGATCATTTATTAGTACGCTACAAGCTGAATACGTGAAATTCACAAGTGCAAATATACTGACTTACCTGAGGTCGCTCCATTTTGTTGGGTAACACGTTGAGTGTTTCGACGGTCGACATGTTCGAAATAACAAGGATCACATCTTGTATCATTGTTCCTTCGTCGACCTCGAACGTTGTGGTTTACTTGCGGTTCTTCAAGGTTTGAATGATCCGGATGCAGCTCCTCCTCAATGATGCGAGATACATTTCGAAATACAGCAGGATCACTACCAATGACCTCATCAACCAGGGAACGAAAATGTGCAGCTTCCTCGGTCAAGTCGTTAACGAACACAGGTTCATCAACACCATAACCAATAACCAAGGTCTTCCAGAATGGATGAATTTGCCTGATATACAAGCCTGGCTATGCAACTAGCGAATCATGTATCTGGAAAGCACATGGCAAACCGTGGGTCACACGCATTACACATCCACAACGCTCGTACACCTGATAACTCAACTCCCTCATCCTTCTCGTCTCATCATCGAGAACTTTCAAACAATGCTGAGACACCTTGTCGTTTATACGTGACAGTGGCAATTGTCTGTACTTTTCACCAATCTTCGACCTTGATGCCTCCGAACCATTACGAATTGCAATGATCTGATTACCAATATGGCAATGTACTCAGGCACATACGGTATCCAAAGAACCTGTCGTTGATTCAAATTATAAAAAAACGTTACGATTTATAATTAAAACAAAAGACGAAGAAAATGCAACAACTACAACATTATAACAACGAACCTGTCGATGACTCTGCAAGTACTCGTGTTACCTAAGTGAAGAACTTGGTTCATCCAAAATGTCACAACTTTGGTTTTATGACAAAGTCATGTTCTCTCAACATAACTAATCACTGCCGGATAACTTTCCCACCGAGCTTTCATTGTATCTACATCAGCATTATAATCTGCCTCGGTAGCAGCATCCATGATACGTTTCCATTTGCCGTTTTTGAAACTCACATTGATCCTCTTGTTTTGAACATATCAGTCACCCTAGCCTCCACATCTTTGCTGATGTGCCATCGACACAGTAAATGCGATATCCCTGGAAACACTTCTCTCAATGCCGCACAGAGGCCAAGCTCACGGTCTGTAAAAAATACCGATGGTTCTCTATCATACCCAATCAACTCCCTTAATCTCTACAACACACACTGATAGCTTGTCGTGCACTCGTTGCGCATGAACACATAACCGACAAGGAAATTCTGATTTGTCGGTGTCACACCTACTATCTCAAAGAACGGCATCCCATATCGGTTGGTCTTGTATGTCGAATCCATACCGATCACATGTGGGTACGTGCGTAGTATGTTTACCGTGACTGGGTGCACCATAAATGCATGCTATAAAACGTCGAGGTCATCGGCCATGACCTAGTAAATATACTGACTCTGTCTCGCCAAATGAAGAATTTGCTGAACAACTCCTCTGCCATCAGCCATCTCCGTTCTCAAGTCATTCTGACGGTTGTAAATGTGTCTGATGTTTGGATGATCATCAGGAAATTGCTCTGCAATAGTTGCCATGATGTTACACGGTGCAATCTTGGACTTTGTCATGTCACGCACAACCTTCTTTGCATTTGGGCTCAAGCCACTGATTTTACGATGACCCTCCTGATACACAATCATTGGATGGTTATGGGTCCCAGTTGCATCATTTTTTGCCCGGATCTTCCAACTGTCTGTGATAAACTCATAATATATCTTGATGTAGAAAGGACAACCATTAGCTTTGGTTTTTGTGTCCTTCCGAATTGCGTTCTCAAGATCTCTCGGCTTGCTCTTTCGTCCCCGATCACATCTAAAATATCGATACGGTCGATCATTTTTGGTTTTGTTGTAAGACGATTTAACCAATATAAATCTCATATTTATGGCAACAGCATCCGCCCATTTAACTACATCATCAAACGTTGGAAAAAACGTGTCCGTGACAAAATTCGCACTATAATTCACACCGTCACCGCCGTCTTCAAACTCCGAATCCTATAAAAATAAAAGAAAACACACAAAACACTCCAATATTATTATTTTAATCATAATATTAATAACAATATTTATAAAACAACAACAACAACAACAACAACAACAACAACAACAACAATAATAATAATAATAATATCACAATATTATCACAACATTAACCAACATCATAACATTAACAAATATTAACTAATATTAACTAACATCAACTAACACTAATATTAACTAATATCACAACATTAACTAATATTAACTAACACTAACATTAACTAATAATCACAACATTAACTAATATTAACTAACACTAACATTAACTAATATTAACTAACACTAACATTAACTAATATTAACTAACACTAACATTAACTAATATTACAACATTAACTAATATTATCTAACATTAACATAAACTAATATTAACAAAAATAACTAATAATAACAATAACAATAATAACAATTACAAACCACATTTTTTGCGCAACCCAATTTATGCTCACCATTATAGTAATAATACAAAACAACAACAACAACAACAACAACAACAACAACAACAACAATAATAATCAATAACATACATACAAAAAAAAAAAAAAAAAAAAAAAAAATCCTGCAAAACGGACTTCTGCCCAGAAAATTCGGGTCCTCCATAAAGTCCGTTTTTCAGAAAAAAAATTTGGCCAGAAGTCCCCTTTTCAGGAAAAAAAAATCCTACGACTTACAAATTCTTCCGACGATGCCTCCGGTGTACAATCGTTGTCGTCGTTCATCGTCCAAAACCCGTTGCTAAAGCTTGATAATTTTATTTTTTAAAAAAAAATTAAGATTTTTGGTGGTGGGCTAGGGAATTTTCGGGCTCGAGAATTTTTTAAAGCAAGTAGTGGGTTAAAGTGCTCGGGAATAATATTAAAATGCTCGGGAATCTTTGTGACAAAATGGCGGAGCCTTATATAGCCCAAATTAAGAAAAGGGCAAAATGGTCACTTTATATTAAAATGGGAGCGATGCCTGGTAAATTGGGAGCGAGCCTAGCTAGTAGCTACTCCATTTGTTTTTAAGTTACGTGCCCATTACTCATATTTCACGATAATAGGAGAAATATAAGAAACTAAAAATCGGGCACGTTCAACATGTGTCAATGTTGTTTACTCTACTGCCATAAAAACAACCGACTGGGGGTGAGAAAAAATCCGAGTACCCTAAATCGGAATCGGAATCGGAATCTGTTAGGAATCGTAGGTTTCGTTACCGAAACCTCTAGGAACCGTAGGTTCCGGAACCGGAATCTGTACAAGAGGTTCCGGTTTCAGGTAGTAAAATGGAGAACCTGTTGCAACAGGTTCCGCTTCAAGTTCTTAATTTTTTGGAATCAGAACCTGTAGGGTACCCTATAACCTATTAAAAGTATTACTTAATTTTAAATTATACGCCAATTCTAACTTATTTTTTAAATAATAAATATCAAAATCACAATTATAAATATACGTATTAAATTTGTTAGACAATTACTATTAGTTTGTTTATTTTGCGAGTTGCAATTATTATAAATTAGTGACCAACCAGTTTTTATATTAAAAAATCTGCAAAAAGTTAGTAAGTATATTACAACACAGGGTACCCTATATCAGAACCAGAACCTGTAGGTTCCGATTCGGATTTCTAATTTCTAAAAACCTGTTCAACAGGTTTCGATTCCCATTTTAAAGAACCTATTGCAATAAGTTCTGATTCTGGTTCCAAGAATTTTTAAGGTAACTGTTATGCTCACTCCATACTGACCATAATGTATAAAATTTGAACAACCATGAACCATGTCATTTGACATCCCAAAAACAATAGGGAAAAAAAAGAGCTTGAAAATTGCAACAATGGAGGGAAGTTCAAATCTACTGGATGAAGCTCTTGGAATCTTCCATGACATCTCTTCTTCATCTTCTTCCTCACTACCCAGTCGCAGTTGTGTGTTGATTGAAGATTGCGTCGAAACTAGCGGCGCTTTCGTCATTCATCACATCCTCAAGCGTTCACTCTCTTCTTCTGCTTCTGTCATTTTCGTCTCCCTTTCTCATCCTTTCTCTCACTATGATCGCATTCTTCGAAAACTGGTATGCCCCATTTGTTCTTGTTATTTTCAATTTATTCGTCACTGTTTTGTTTAATTTACAGCACTTTGATACAATTTTTATAAAATTTTTAATTTATGTATGATTGTTGGAATTGATTTTCCGGTTTATATTGTAGTATAGCTTGAATTTGAACAATTATGGAGTGTGAAAATGAATTAGGGTTTTACTGATAAGTTGTTAGTTTGCTGTATTCCTGGAAATTATTTCAATTTTCCTGCTAAAAATTGCGGGTTTTGGTATTTGTATTAAAATGAATTGAGATGGTTTATGTAAGTTTGGAATTAAATGCAAAGTTATGGTCAGATTGATCACTAATTGGAATTTGCTAAGCTACTTGTATCTTAGAATAAACAATTTCAAGCTACATTAGGCTGAGGCTTAATTTTCGTGGCGCCGTCGTGACTAGACTAGAGAAGAAAGTGTTAATAATGATTTTATGTCCATCTATAATGAATGAAGGAGAAAATTTGTATTTCAATGGACAAGCAGGTGAGACTTATATCAGATGAAATTATATATAACTTGTATTTCCATAGGAGGTGGTCATTCGTGCTTTGCTTTTCGTTTCATGCTTGATTGGATGAATTGATAACAACATAGCTATTCCTTCTTCTTTCCGAATGACCAATGCATCCCTCTTCTCGCTTTATTGATACTGTTTGTGAATGTTGAATGTTGATATTTGGAGCTGTAACAGGGTTGTAATTTGGCTGCTCACCGCGATAGTGGAAGGTTTTTCTTCTTTGACATGCTTATGCTAGGATGCACCGGTGAGAATTTCACATATACACTTGGTTATTTTTATTGATCATTTTAACTAGGTTTGCAATCTATCCTACGCCTTGTTGATTCCATATGTACCTTGCATGGTGTCAGAAGATATCTGTTTTTTCTTTATTTTTTTAGGTCCTTGATTCTTTTATTTATGTTTATAAAATAATAATGTATGAGAGTCACTTAGGAAATTAGATAGGTTGAACTTGTTTTATGCACTGAAAATCTGGTATTTATATTGATGGATATGTCAAGGCTCCAAAAAGTGAGAAAATTAATAGATTAGCATTATTTTTTGGAATTGTAACATCTATTGTCACTCACTAGAAATGAGTGAATAATATAACCTTTTCAGTTAATAATGGTATTTTTCCTCCTTCCAATAGACAATCCCTTTGTATACATTTTTAAGACGGTTTAGTGATATAGGAGAAAGTGCTGAGGAGAAAACAGATTATGGAAGAAAGTTGTAGGTTGGTAGCCTCAAAAGAATGTTGAAGTAGTATTAAATTTTTGGGGGAGATTGTCCTTTTGATTTGGTTTGCTAACCTGCTAATTTAAGAAATTCTCAAGATTCTTAACTTAAGATGGGTTATATGATTGTCCATTGACAATATTTCAGTTTTTGTTTAATGGCTTGGTAGATATACTAGTTTTTGAAGTATCTATATCTGCTGCAATTATTGATGAGTTCCCCTCCTTGAGATTTTTATGAACCAAATATTGGAAATATTTAATTTGCACTAGTCTTGAGTTATGGCATGGGGCTTGGTATGTGGGTAAGACTTAAATAGGAACAGGAGGCTTTAGGACTTGACTGAACATAATGCTGTTAAAAAATTATTACTTTCTGAGTTTGATATTTTGATGATTTGATCCTAAATGGCCAGATTAGATTGATTTTAGACTTTGGCTTGTACTCAACTTTTTCACTGAAGTATCTATTTCTAGATGTATAGGCCTTTATCAGATTGGACATAGTAGGATCATCTATAAATTTATACTCTTAGAAGTTCTTGAAAATGCTCCTTTCTTCTCATTCTTTTTCTCTCTTTTCTGATTAATGTTTGTAACCAGACCAAAGCGTGGGAAACATACATACTGGTGGACTGATCGAGTTTTACGGGAAAATCCAAAAAGTTGTAGAAGACATTATTTCCAGTAGTGAAAATAGTAAAAATATCACTATTATGCTTGATGATTTCTCCCTAATTGAGGTGGCTGCCAAGGGCTCTTTCAATCACAGCTTGGACTTTCTGCGATATTGTTACACTTTGACTTCAGAATTTGTAAGTTGACACCTTTTTTCTTGGTTGTTTTTGCTCCCCTCCCTCACAACTTAAAGAGAAAGAGAAAGCTTATTTTAATGCATGCTGGAAGGTAGCATATCGGCTTTGTGATTTAGTTCCAACTTCCAACTAGATTAGTCCAATTCCCATTCTGGTACAGTGTTAACCTATGTACCTGTTGGTCATAACTCTCATAAGTGCTGCAGGCCCTTGACCTGGAAAAGTCTAAGAGATGGTTAAGTACTATATGGTATTATACTTTTGGGCTTCATACTACTCTTGGTGTCATTATTTTGGACATTTGAGGTTGTATTACCTAGATTGAGGAGAACGCAAATGAGAATATAGAGAGTTGATTGACTAAAATTGTACAAGTACAATGTTGATAAATGGAAGAGCATAAATTTGGAAATTTTGTACTTCCTCCGTTCCATAAATTTCATTTTTTTAAGTAACTTTTACTTATGGACCATTAAAGATATTAATCAATAAAGTTGTGTTGGGAAGTGTAAAACAATTCATGTTTTAATAATTTTGGAATGGAGGAAGTACTTATTAATTTATAATTAACTCGGAAAGTAAGATGAAAAATGTATTATAGGTCTTGGATTATGATGTAGAGAAAGTTGATAAGCTCATGCCCTCTTTGAATAAAAGATTATCCATTGTGCACCTGCAACAGGCATGTCCTGCACCTGTTGACACTTATTTGAAGTAAAGATATTTTTGAAAATTTAAGATAATTTCACTGACAATTCAATTATGAGTTTGATGTCATGCACAATTTGACGCAATCTAGGTTTTCAATAAAGTTTGTTTTGATCTTCTCATTCGCCTTTCTCCAGGGATGTTCCCTTGTGATCCTTAACCATGAGGATATCTATCTTGGAGAGGAAAGTTTGACACCCATTGTACAGATGGAGTACCTAGCTAATATATTGATCAAAGTTGAACCATTGGCGACTGGTTTGGCAACCGATGTCCATGGACAGGTAATATTGTAATTTTTTTGGCAAATTTCAGTATGTCTGTTAATTATGCTAAATTTCAATGTTCTGTTATCTGTATCATCTTATACTTAGCAATTTTTGGCAAACTTCTGAGATTATAAGCCGCTTGTTAGATTCTCATGCATGAGTTTTTTGGGTGGGGTGGTGCAAGATTTCTTTGCCAAATCTATCTTATATGAAAGTTGTTAATAAGAAGTTGCAAGGCAAATGAAGTGATTGGCATAATGACCACGCAGAAATTTGAATCTCCTCTCTAAATTTTGTTCTGCAACTTGCAGTTGACTGTACTGAACAAAGGAATGATTGACAAGTCAAGGAGTTCAACAAACAAGGTACAAAATTTCCACTTTAAACTCAAGGAAAATGGTAGCAACTGCTTTTATCCAGGAACTAGGGCGTGAGGATAGAGGCCTTGGTGCCGCCATACAATTAAGTATTCATCTCAGTGGTGTGAGAACAATAGAATGCTGAGGATTTGGAGCCTTCGAGTATAAATTTGTTTAATGGGATGTATGAACTATTGAACTTCTTGTTTGATCCTTGTAACAGAATAACAGAATGTATGAAATTTCCCTTGTGGTGCCTTAACTTATCAACTTCTTTTCACTAAACAAGAGATTCTAAACTATAGAGCAATTAGAGCAGCAACAAATTAACAAGTGTTTTGTGTTCAGACAACCAAGAGAGAATAGACATTTTTTGGACTGTATGAGTAACATCATATATTTTGTTTAATACATCATTCTTTTTAAAATTGCTACATATTTATTTTTTTAAATAGTGAATGCATAAATTTTATCACTAATTTTCCTCGATAAGTTCAAATTATGGCAAGTTTATACTTTGTATTTGGAAAATATAAATTGAGATTAATACATTAAGATCCCACATGTATGTTTTTTCTTCAAGTGAACCGCCAAAGATAGGCATGAGAGAGAAAAGACCTCATAAACTCACGTCATGAATGGGTAGCCGCCTCCTTGAACCCCTTCTCCTTCCGTACTACCTGCCCCTTCACCACCACCACCGGACCTCTTTTCACCACATTTTACAACATTGATTTGATCCATAAACATCCGTTCAATCAATGAATTTACATGTTCTAATTTAACCATAAACAAATTCTGAACCCAAACCAAATGTAGATTTGCATTTGACTCAAACATAACTTAATCTTAATGACTCAATTATAGATTTGATTATGCTAATACTCTTTTGGTTTAGCTAGAAATAAGGTCCAACCGTCCAAGAGAAAACAAGGTATAAATACAACAAAGAAATTTCAGTAGTAAGCATGAAATTACAGTGATATTTACATAAATAAATCAATACAATTGTAACCATATCATTTTAATTTACAAATATAGGTATCATATCTACAATTCTTCCAAATCAATTGGTAGAACTCTGTTTTTGTATAGAAATTTCTGCCTATCCTCCATTTCACATGTCAATTCCTCGTCATCATTATCCTCCATGATTTTATATGAAACATAAATTTTGTTCATAACCAAATAAGAACCCACACCAAAAACCATCATACCTATGAAAAAACAACTAAACAAGATGTTAACCAACGCCTTACCGCGATGCAATGATTCGTGTTCATCACACTTAATCACATGCCGACCATAATGACCTATCTTCATTGAGCAACCTTTGGGAGCGAAATCCGGAGTCCATAGCATGAATCCCATGACAATGAGCCAAAGTCCTTGAAATATTATACCAAGTGACCTAATGTAGCACAACATGAAGCTCTTAGGCAACCATATGCTTAGAAGAGTGGAAAATAGGCACACCATAACCACTAGTTGTTGGAGCAAATGGTATTGACCCTCTAAGCCTACATGATCTGTTGTGTGGAAGTGAAAGAGGAGAAGCTCTTGGGCAAAGGCCATGGCGGCGAGGAAGTGGCTCATATTGACATGAGCCTTGGTGCTAGGCTTGATTTTGTCGAGTAGGATAGCAAAGAGAGCGTGGAAGGAGAATGCCATGGCAATGAAAGAATGCTCAAACTGGTGGAGATGAGTGGCTAGGATTGCTCCATTATGATCGAATGGTGAGCTATGGAGCTCCATGAAGATGAATATAGAGCATCCACTCAAGATCAAGTAAAGTTCCAAATACCTTGAGAATGAGGAAGGAAACCAAGTGTAGGATTTGAAGCATTTTAGAGTTGCATGGTTTTTTAGATGATTGTAGAGATGCCAAAGGCCTATTATAAAAAACACTAATCCTAACAAAACATGACCATCTTTACCTCCCATGTTGTAGGTACCGTCTTGGTGGATTGATGTGGAGCAATGATAAAACACTCCGAGGGATGGATCAAGCTTTCAAGTCCGAAAGATTATGTGTAAAGGCCGTTTTGATATTTATGAATTTTGACTATATAGGAATGTAATTTTGGAATAAAAACACTCCAGAGTTTTGAACTTCGTCATTAATGGGCTAGAGAGATTATAAACGGGGCGAAAGAGAGAATATTTTAAGAAGCATACTACAATAATGGTACGGTAGCATAACAAATGAGTAAACACCATTGTTAGTTAGTTAGTTATGTAATAGAAAATATGCATGGTTGAAGTTTGCTGAGAAGCTAGGCAATGTTTGTCTCACTTTTAAACTACTCTTTCAAATTCACTTTTAAAACTAATTATAATCTCTCTTTTAAAAATGTGGTTTTGGTGCGTTTACGGTAAACTAATTTTAATCTCTCCTTTAAACTACTCTTTCATTTTCTCAATAGAAGAGAAATCCTTGTACTCTACCCATCAAGTTTGTTTGATGTGATCTTTACCATTAACTTATGGAGTTTAGTTATTGGTATATTTTGTTCTTGTAAATGAAGGATAATCATTTATCTTATCCCAAAAGCAACAATTTAAAAGGAGCCAATAGTATAAAGAAAAGTTTGGTAGACCAAACCTCGTATATATGTACAAGCAACATACGAAGTATAAATGTATAATACTTCGTATTACAATTCTCCAAGAGTATAGTCTTGTAGGCATCCTCTCAAAAAAAAAAAAACCTAAGACAATCAATGAAACTATGAGATTATAAAATTTCTTGCATTCTTAATTAACATAAGACAATTTTTTGGCGTCGTTGTAATTGGAAGATATAAATTTGTGTATATATATATATATATATATATATATATATATATATATGAACGAAAAAAATTGGATGAGTCAGACTCATGGTGAGTTCAATATATCTGACAATAATAGTTTAATAGCTGACAATAATATTCTAATATATGACATTAATATTCTAATGTCTGACATTAATAATCTAATATCTGACATTAATAATTTAATATCTGACATTAGATTATTAGATTATGAAATTCAGATATTAGATTATTAATGTCAGATATTATAATATTAATGTCATATATTAGAATATTATTACCAGATATTAGAAAATTATTGTTAGATATATTGGACTCACGGTGAATCCGCTCTCACGTAAAAGCTTCTCGTCGGTGAATGATGTATATAGGTTAAAAGGTGATCTATCAACATATGTCTGACATTAATAATCTAATATCTGACATTAATAATTTAATATCTGACATTAGATTATTAGATTATGAAATTCAGATATTAGATTATTAATGTCAGATATTATAATATTAATGTCATGTATTAGAATATTATTATCAGATATTAGAAAATTATTGTCAGATATATTGGACTCACGGTGAATCCGCTCTCACGTAAAAGCTTCTCGTCGGTGAATGATGTACATAGGTTAAAAGGTGATCTATCAACATCCCATAAAAGTGTTCAAGCCAAAATCCCGTTTACATGTTAGATTTTTGTGCCGATATTTTTTAACATTGTCCATTATTCAAGAGGAACTATTGTTAAATCCCATTAGAAATTTAGAACCGTCATGAAGTAGATTAGAATTACTTGTACGTTTTAACATTAGGTGGATTTACGACAAAAATTGTAAAGAGAGAGGACTAAAGAAAAAGAGTGGAGCCTATCATGGATTAAAATACCGTAATGTTTTTCATGAAGTACAAATTATGTCTACATCAATGCTTATGTAGCTCGCTCTTTACATCGTCCCAAACGAAAAATACAGAGGCCTTCACAACCTTCAGTTTAGACGGATTGGCAAACACTAGAGCGACTTCTATGGTTAATGGTATCCTCAAATCTCAAGTCGTGCACATACACTTGCAACCATTTAGGTAAATCTTTGTATTATGAGGTATGTACTATCATTGTTTTAAAAAATAGGTATGTACCATCACTATACAAATAGTGGCAATATTTTTTTAGTACAAACTTTGTATTCATATGATATGACATGTGTGGAATGTTACTTGGAAAAGCAAGTGGGTATAAGCAGACTCGCCTTAGTTGGAGTGAGTATAGGTATGATTTTAGTTTATAGTGGGCAGGTATGAAAATTGAAAGCCATACTCATCATCATGGGTAATAGACTAGTGGGTGGTGAGGAATTTGAAATATTACCCACCCAGCATCCACGCACTCACCCGCTTCATTTCCATTATTACATTATTACTTGTATCATCATCATATTATAAATAGTTCCGACTAAGTATAGTCGTATAAACAGGTAGTAACAAGATAATAGTTGAGTTTATATATGTAGGAAATAGATGGGGGCGGATATCTATATGGATGATGTAGCAAGTGTGCATTTATAATTATACCCACTTGGGTGCGTGGGTATAGATGTTAGATATACGCGTACCTGCTTTGGGTAGTGAGTAGGTGGTGGGTAAGGCAAAGGGAGTACTTGCATTTGCTCACTCGTTTGTCATCCCTAGCATTAATTTAACAAACAAGAATAGGTCATACTCTCTGTGTCCTAAATTACTTGCCCCATAGCCTTTTGTACAAGATTTCGTGTAAGTGAAAAATGTAGAGGATAAAATGATAAAAAGTAGAGAAAAAAAATGGGTTGATGAGTGTGACTGTGTTAGTAAACGGGCAGAGTTATGGGCAAATACAAAGTATATTATAAAGTATATTCTTCTACGTGGGAAGTCTTGGAAAAAAAATTGAGTGGGGCGTTCAAAAAAATAAATAGTAACACTGTGTTTGGATAGAGAAAAATGGAGGGAAAGGAAGAGAAGAGAGAATGAGAGCATCCACAATGCTTGTAAATAGGTCTTTGCTCGCAATTTTTAAATACTTGGAGCTAGTAGCTTGCCATTGTGGAGCTACAAGGGTTGTAGCTTTGGTAAAACTACATAGTTCTACAAAGCTATGTAGTTTCACTTCAGCCAAAGCATGTGTTGTCCACTTTGAATGAATAAGTTGTTTGTGATTTCTTTTTTTACATTTATTTTCTCTTTTTTTTTTTTTTTTACAAAAGGTAGTAGCTTGCCATTGTAGAGGTTGTAGCTTTAATGATGCAAGTAGTTTGATGTAGCAACCCAAAGCTACAAATGATGCATAATCCTATGTTTGGATATTAAATGCAAGGAAAGAAGGGGAGGGAATTAGAAGATCTTTTCTCTTCCCCTTTTATGAACCAAATTCCTCCAATGTTAGAGAGATTATGAAGGAAAATGAAAGGTCACCTTCTCGCTCTCCTCAACTCCCCTTTCCCTTCACTATTGTTATTGAAACATAGTGTAAATGAATAAAGTATGAAAGATTTTAACCAAAAAAAAAAAAAAAGGAATAAACTAAGAAAGATGGAGAAATGAAGGATGCATGTACCAAACAAAGTAGATAAAGCAAGAGAGAATGAGTGAGTTATTGTACATAGTGGGGGATGAGTCTTCTAAAAAACTCATAGCGGAAAGTCGAATTTTTAGAAACGGTCAAACGGAGAGTATCAAAGATGTGCATCAGACACTGCGAAAAATAAGTTATTTATGGGCTGTTTGGTTGAACTTGTTGGAATGGAATCGAATGGATTTAGAATCCTTTCCATGGTTTTATTTATTTGGTTGGACTATTTAAGTATGGAATCTCATACTTGGGGGATTCTAACTCCACCCCATTTCATTGGAATCTCATTCCCACCTCGCCTCTAAGGATTCATAATCCATACTATTACTCAAGTATGAGAATCCATTCCATGATTAAACCAAACAACTTTAGATTGGTATGGGATATAGAATTCATACCACCCAAGTATAAGAATCCATATTAATCCATTCCAGCTTATTGAACCAAACGACCCCTTAGTAGGTGAAAATTGGACTCAGAAGTATCTTTTGTTGCTTGATAATATGAATATGAATATAGTGAATACCCTTGTGAGAATCTCTTATCCTTTCCCCTCACTTAGCAAAATTGGATCAAAACCTTGAGCATTGAGGACTAATCAAGGTCACTCTCCTTACCGGGGAAAAAAAAAAGTACAGAGTATACAGTAGATGAAAATTTGAGGCGTCCGTTGATCTCTGGATTGCAAAATGACACTTTTTGTACAAATTACAACCCCACTGGAAAACTATATGAAAAAAGAAATGATGCAATTTAAGAAAAATGTACTGTATATACGAAGTATGATTTTTGGTTCTTTCAAAAAAAAAAAAAAGGTACGATTTTTGGTTTTATAGAGCATATGGAGTTACTGGAAGATTATGAAAACCCAGATTTACTCACTTTGTATGAGCATGTAGAATCCATCTTAAGAGTACTGACAATTTATCTTCGTCTGAAGGCCTGAAGCTCAGAGCCCTTAAATTATCTCTATATACAGCTCTGTTTGTACAACCTGTAGTTTCATTGCTAGACACACTCGACATGAACCTTTTCTGTTTAAGATAACTTTTCTCCGTGAAACTCATCGACAGCATTACTGGGGATCGCATCGTAGAAGAATCCCATAAAAGGGCGACCTATGAAAGCTTGAAATTTTGTCTCAAGATTTGACACCAAAACAAGTAGTTAAAGCAGCACACCTTTAAGGAGAAGCTTATTTCCAGAGGCAACCCTGGGGGCTACCATGTTTAAAAGTAGTGAACACAGCTCAAAATAGG